AACAGCTCTGCTCACCTCCGAGCTGCAGCACGAGCTCATTCTGCTCACATAACTAAAAATACCGTAGTGTTACGTTGCGTGCCTATTATCCACTGCTCCTTACTACCTACAGTATATACTTACACGGCTGCACATATATTTTGTGTAGAGGTGTGCACGCAAAGCCAGGATACTGCATTTTATGCATGATGTCAGGGATTCCCAAAGGTTATGTTAACTGTGTAATCTTGGCCTTGTGCACTGACTTAGAACCTAACCTTGGTGGAAAGAGCAGCTCCACTGTTGGATTGTTTCTTATTTTATTTATTTATTTTCTTCTGTTGATGGATTGAAGAGCCATTGAGGAGACTTGGCGACTGATTGGGATAGGAGGGAAAAGGAGAGAGACTAAAACGTGGTATTCCCAGGCCTGCCAACTCTGATGTTCTCTGGCCTAACAACTGAGCAGACGGCAGTCCTATTTTTTGAGATGGGTACACCAGAGGAGTAATTAGAGGGTAGAGAGGACAAGCTCACTACTTTCTTTCTTTTTTTTTGAGTTGGAGTCTCACTCCGTGGAGTTGGGAGTTTCAATCTGTGTCGCCCAGACTGGAGTGCTGTGGCACACTCACGGCTACCCCAGCGTCGACCTACTGGGCTCTGGCGATCCTTCCACCTCAGCCTTCCAAGTAGCCAGAACTACAGGCATGAACTACCATGCCTGGCTACTTTTTAATTTGGTGTTCTGGACTGAATGTGTTCCCCAAAGTGGCATCTGTTGAAATCCTAGCCCCCAATGTGAGATGAAGTCTCACCAAATTGCCCTCAAACCCACGGGCTCAGGCAATCCTCTTGCCTTGGCCTCTCAAAGTGCTGAGATTATAGGCTGAGCCAACGAGCCCAGGCAACTTTTTCCACAATCTTTTGTTGTGAAAACTTTCAAAAATACAGAAAAGGTGGCAGGTTGCACGGTGAACACCCATGAACCTACCACCTAGATTCCATTACTGACTTATTGCTTCTTTACATCTTTTTCATACACCCAAAAGAGTTCATTTTTGAGCAAACTGAATTTGTGATGTCTAAGAGACATCTAGACATCCTGTCTAACAGGCTGCTGGTCTAAAGTACAAGAGCACATTTGGAGAACAGGCTGCTTCCTATCCACACGCAGTTCTCTAGAATCTGGCTCTGACACCTTCTTTCTGAAGGTGCTTTCACTGAGGACTGAGAACTCCAAAGCTGAACTCACTGTTTTCCGCCTGAAAACCTGCTCCCCTTCCTCCAGTGTATCCTGCTGCCCCAGTCATTCTGAGCTGCTATAACAAAGTACCAAAGGCTGGGTGGGTTAACAACAGAAATTTCTTTCTCACAGTTTTGGAGGCTGGTGGTCTGAGATCAGGGCAGCAGCACGATCAGGTTCAGGTGAGGGTAGTCTGCCAGGCACACATGGCAACTTCTGGCATCCTCCCATGACAGGATGAGATTGGGAGAGCTCTCTGGGGTCTCTTTTATAGAAGCACTAATCCCGTTTATGAGGGCTCCACCCTCATGACTTAATCACCTCCCCAAGGCCCCACCTCCTAATCCCATCACATTGGGGGCTAGGATTTCAACAGATGCCATTTTGGGGAACACAAACATTCAGTCCAGAACACGTATTTTAGTTACCCAAGCTTCAAACTTGGGAGTCATCCTAGATGTCTCTCCCTCAGTGAACAGGTTCTGTCAATCCTGTGTCCTAAATAGCTTTTTAAAATGTCCCCTTCCTTTTCATCCCCTCTGCCATTCACAAAGTTCAGGATCTCAGAATTTCTCAGTTTTATTGATATGGAAGAATCACAGTTTCAACCTCTGAACTGGTCCCATGTCTTCTCTCTCTCCAGCTCATCTCCTCCTATTTATCTGTGTGACTGTCCATCTAATTTATCATTTTTTAAAACCTGTTCACATTCTCTTTTATATTCCTTTACAGGTTTAAATCCCTTGGTCTTCCAGAAAGTGGAAATAAGCCTATATTTCCAACCTTACACGTGGCTACCCTCCCACACCTTTTTTTTTTTTTTTTCTTTTTCTTTTTTTTAGTTGGAGTCTCACTCTGTCACCCAGACTGGAGTGCAGTGGCCGCTCCCGGCCACCGCAGCCTCGACCTGCTGGGCTCCGGCGATCCTTCCACCTCAGCCATCCGAGTAGCCGGAATTACAGGCGTGCGCTACCACGCCCGGCTAATTTTTTGATTTTATTGTAGAGATGAGATCTCGCCTGCCCAGGCGGGTCTCGAACCTTTTTTTTCTTTTTGAGAGAGACAGGGTCTCACTCTGTCACCCAGGTTGGAGGGCAGTGGCCGGATCATTGCTTACTGCAGCCTTGAACTCCTGTGCTCAAGAGATTCTCCTGCCTCAGACTCTTGAGTAGCTGGGACTACAGCAGCACACCACCATCACCATACACAGCTATCCCACATCGTTTTCCCTACTGAGGTATGATCTTTAAATATACCCTCCTCCTGGAAGATGGCCCTGAAGGCCAGGCTGGGTGGCTCCCACAGAATTCTCAGAATACTTCTATCATTAGATATTCAAGTCTTCGCAGACGCTGAAGTCCTTGAGGGTGGTGATGTTTTAATTCTCGTTAGAGCCAGAATACTTTTATCACTCTGCCCAACACAAAAAGGACTCTGTTTGCTGTAGCTGAATTTTGCACATGTCCAGTGATTGTACATCCTTCCCTTCCAACCAAATCCTCAAGCCTGAGTTCTTCTGTGAAGCCTCCTTCGGCCTCGAGAGCTCTGACTTTTAGCCACTGTCCCTGGATTTAACAAGTTCTATTTTACGTTTCTACAACTAGCTTCCATAAATGTGAACACGTTGCCCTTTTCTTGCTAACGCTGATGCTATCCACGCTTCCAGGCTGGGCTCCATCCAAACGCACCTCCACCACTAATAGCTGGCTGGTCCCTAGAGGGAATTCTGTGAACTCTGAGCAAATGAAGCTTGCGTCTGCTTAGCACTTGCTACTCTTTCATCCCAGTTGCTACTACGGCTTGCCGGGTTCCCCTCCTCTCCTGCGATCCCACTCGCCTCACGCCTCTCCCCGCAGCACCTGGCACTGCCACTGGCAGATGCAGCCCCAAAGCATCACCGGGAAGCTCTAGCAGAGACAGAGCTTTTTCAAGACAGACGTCCCTGCCGGCTGATCCGTCCGCCCGGTGACAAGCTCCACCCGCCAGGGCTCCGCCCGCTCCCCGCGGCTCGCGCCCACCCGGGCCCGGAGCGAGCGAGTCCGGGAAAGAGCGGAGGCGGCCTCCTCGGCCCAGGTCCTGCTTCCGCGCAGGCGCAGTGATACCGCCGAGCGCGTGACTCGAGAGCCGCGGGCTCCGGGCGGGGGTTTCCGGGGCGGGGCGGGGGCGTAAAATATGTTTTCAAGCATATATTTTGAGGTTATATATATG